TCACCAAGCAGCACTTCCTCTCCCTCCATGGTGTTTGGTCCAGTGGTGGCCGGCTGGATGAGTGACACATATTCTTTTCACGGTGCCTTCGGTTCTGCCCCAGTCACCACGGACAGAGGGGTTTTATACCTTAGGCTGCAGAAGCCGTGACATCATCAGCATGAGCTTGCTGAGTTTGCTTCTCTGACCAGCATCCCAAGGAGCAACTGTCCTGCTGAACATGCAAGAAAGTAGTTTCTTCAGGTAACTCTCACTCACCCTCGTTCCCAGTGCCCATAAGTCAGAGCCACTGTCTTTTAAGATAACCGGTGTCTGGACTTCCCCACCCAGGCCTGCTCTCACTGTTCCCTAGTGTTACAAGATTTTGGGGAACAGAAAGGGGCATTCAGGGACATGGTGTTTTACTGCCCCTTTTTTCTTTAAGGACAATACAAAGAAATCGCCTTATTTTTTTTTAGTAATTAATTTAGTAAATTCTGACATTCCAATACATGGGTCAGAATTATGTCATCAGTCCCTTACTGCTGGACAATTAGGCTGCCTTTGATCTTCATTACAACAAACCACGACACCCTGTAGAGATCAAGTTTTACATGTGTGAATACATTTGTAAGATAAATTCCTAGAAGTAGGATGGCTACTGTTGAAATCAGGATGGCCTGATTTCAACCTCAAGTCTCTCCTGCTTCGCCAGGCTTTCTGCTGGGGGCTAGGGACAGCAGAAATGGGGGGGGGGGGGCAGTGCTCTGGCAATAAGAGTTTCCAAAGAGTAAAGGAGAGGACATTTCATGAAGCAGTGTGCATGAAGAAGGGGGAAGGAAGTCTCCAACACACATACAAAGGAAAACAGCAAAAATGGACTCGGATGTATTAAGAAGAGTAGGACCAGAAGTCATCAGCCATTCAACAATTTTGAAAGAACTAGTACTTTCCCCAGGGCCTTGCTCCCCAGGCCACCCCACCCTAAGGTAATTTGTGGTGGGCTCCTCCAGTAACCCCAGGCAGACGAGCACTGTTCCCAGCAACTAACACACCACATGTGGTCTGCAGCTACAGAGATCAAGTGGGTGTGCACAGCCACTGTCCTGTGTGGGGAAGGTGAGAAGAATGGGGGGAGGCCAAGCTGCAACCCTCCGTCTGAATGTGGTTGGAACTAGGAGAGCAGTTGTTAAAGTCAGAACCCCTGACATAGTCAACACACATTTAGTGAGAAGGAGGGAAAGGAAGGGGGAAAAATAAGGGAAAGAGACAGAATAAAACAACCCAGAAAGAACAATCCAGAGCTGGATCAAAAGGCTAGGGTAGGAGGCAGTAGAAAGAGTCCTGGATGGAGCTGGGACCTGCGTCCACCTGACAAGTCCCCTGAGCTTGCAAGGAGGCCCCAGCTCACATCTCTGCAGGGCTGCCTCCTGCAGATCCTGCAGCCAGCACCAGCAGAACACTTTGTCCGAGCAGGGCCCTGCGGAAACAAAGAGGAATGAGGCAGGGCTTGCTGTCCCGGGAGGGGAGGGCAGAGAAGGAGGGATCAACAACAGGAGAACAGTTCTCTAATTTGCACGTGGAGAAAATTAAAGCCTGTGGGGAGAAATGGTTTTGCATCTGGCTATTCTCGGGGGCTCAGATTCCTAAATGATGGATGGACATTGCCTGCTTTAGGCATTTTGTTAAGAGCAGTCAGAAGAGCCAGACCTGACACCTACATCATCCTGGGGGAACTCCACACCTGACTAAAGCCTTGGAATCCAAGTGGAATAGGGTTTCACTTTCCCTGCCTCTGTTTGGTCAGCTCAGGTTAGTTCAGCTTGTGAAACTTGGCTGGCAACCAGATTAGCTTAGAGCAAGGGCGAATGACAGAGGAAAAACAAAGACTAGGGCAGGACAAGAGGGGTGGAGTCAGCTGGAGGGATGTGTCTGGCTTTAGTGAGACTCGTGGAAAAGATCTGATGAGAACTGGCCCTGTGAACTAGCGAGGCTCATCAAGGAGCCTGCCAGGTCTACAAATCTGCTGTAGGCAAAATAACAAGTGTAGGTCTCTAAATATTGAAGTGTTCACAGCCTCCATCAGATTCTCAAAAGTCTTCATTACCCAAAACAGTTTGGGTCATTATACTAATGAGGAATCTTTGGCAAACAAACTTATTCAAAGTCATTGTTACCAGCCTCAGAAAGAAAAATACTGCATGATCTTGCATATCTGTGGAATCTTCATGAAAGTCAATTAGATGAACACGAAGAGTAGAACCGTAGTCACCAGGGGCAGGGAGGCAGGGGTTCGGACAAAGCAGAGAAAGGTACAGTAATATAGGATGAATAAGTCTAGAGACCTAAACTATATCACAAAGACTACAGATCATGATACCATATAGAATACTAGTAATTTACTAAGAGACTTCAGGTGCACACACCACACACAGGAAGTGGTAATTATATGAGATGAATATGTTAACTTGTTTGACTTCAGTAATCATGTCACTATGTCTATGTATATATTAAAGTTTCATGTTGTACACCTTAAATTTGTTATTAAAAATACATAAATAATAAGTATTAGAGCTGGATTTGGGGGGGAGGTGAGGATTGAACTCAGGGTTGTCCTACAACTTTGCTACATTCCTGGCCCTTTTTATTTTTTATTTTGAGACAGGGTCACACTAAGATGTCACACTGGCCTCCAACTTGTGATCCTTCTATCTCAGTCCCTTGAGACAGGAATTATAGGCATGGGCCACTGTGCCCAGCTTAGAGCTGGATTTTGAACTCTAGAGACCCCCTGCACTTAATCAAGATGCTATTTGAAGTTATTGATTTAGCACCTATCATATCCATGATATTTGTTGAAAAATGGGGGAGGGGTTTACTCCAAAAGACACATAGAAAAGATGCTGTGTTCCTGGAGTTAAGACCAGTGAAAGATGATTCACAGTTAAGGAGTACATATTTACTTGTTTGTGGTCTGTCCCCGGCCTATTCCCACATAGAGCAGCCCCAGAAAGCAGGTCTTTGACTACCCTTGCTCACCAGGGTGTCTGCAGTGCCTAGCACAGTGCCTGGATCACAGCAATTCTCATTCGCAAAGTGTAAAGTGAATGAGGAATGGTTGAGCAGTATAGACCATGTACCTTGAAGGGACAGAGAGCAGAAACAGCTCCATGCTGTTTGTGACTCACTTTACAGCTCCCTAAACACATCCATGGTCACTGTGTCCCTTATCCTCTCAACTATCAGTGCAGTAGGTCAGACAGGAAAGAGTTCCTAATTTTCAAGAACATAAAGTGCTAGATGAATCATCTTGAGAGTGGCCACTCACTGAACCCCTATCCTGTACCAAGTTCCATATTGTTTACATGGGCTCTCTGATTTGCTCATGGAATCAATTCATTAGAGTCAGAGAATAACCTAAAGATAACTTGGTAGGTCAAGTCCAAACCTGACTTCAAATGGAAATGAGTGGAAAATAAAAATGTGTGTGTGTGTGTGTATGTATTCTTGCCCTTCTCTGCTCCTCAAAATCCACTGAACCACCCAAAGGGAAGAAAAATACTTCTGAGATTCCCTTTGCCTATTCCTACTAAGCCACTATCCTACCATCTCATCCCCACTTGCCCACAGACGGACAGACATATAGACACACACACACACACACACACACACACACAGCAGGAAGGTTCATTAGGATGCACAGATGAGAAACATGTTGTTCCATCTCTGTGTGGCTTCCTCAGCTAGTGTCCCAACTCAGCACATCTGGTGTCTAGGAAATACTTTCCTTTCTTTCTTAAAGAGGGAAACTGAGATCAAAAAGGAAACAGATACAAAGTTCCTAGGGGAAAATTGCTTTGGCAAGAGTTTAGGGATTTCTTTAGAAATAACATAGTGTGGTAGAAAGTGGTCATGGGTTCAACATTGAGTTCTGCCACTAACAGGCTATGGCCCTCACCTAGTCACTTAACCTCTCTAGGCTCAACTGATCCATCTGTTCAAAGGGAGACTTCTTGGGGCAGGAAGTAGCTCAGTGGCAGAGTGTACCTGGCATCACAAGGGCCTCAATGACTGTTAGCTGCCTTCCTGATGTGAGCCACTGGGAAGAGCTGAGGCATAGACATCCGAAAAATCTGGTCTCAGGTCCCACTTATTGGTTGTGGGCCCCTGTGGATGTGAATAACCTCTTTGAGCCTCAGTTTCCCCTTCCGATGACCACCCTGCCATTGTGAGGAAGAAATGGACAAGGTCTTCCCATTCTGGGTGACTTGGTCAATCCCTGCCACTAATTACATGCGACAGTAGCTAACAAGAAATATTCTCAGTACAGGGTTACATTTTTTAAAATTTGTTTTTGTTACTGTCAATAAACACTTTTCTCTTATTCAGACGCCAGTTTCAGCCCTACCCAGGCTAAACTGTCATGAACAATCACCAGCAAGCAAAGGGGTTTGGGGGGTGACCCAGTGGTCGTGATGAAAGCAAGAAAGCTCCCGCGGAGGAATCATTGCAACTCACACTGAGCAGCTCAGATCCATTTTACAGAATGGGTTCTCTCACCATCCTTGGGGACTATATGTCTAAAGGACACTCCCCAGTAGAACAACTTGTAAATGGCTCCTCCCATGTACGAGAGAAGGGAGGTAAAAATCAAGCACACACAGGAACTGTGAAAGAAACCCAAAAGACCCAGAGGCTCTGCTCCTGTCCTAACTGCCCCAGCCCTTTACCCCCAAGAGGGCAGCTTCCTACTCTCTAGGAAAGACCCCGCCCTGAAGGTGAAGCTGAGGATGCCAGCAGAGGAAGAGTTTCCATGGCAGCACCCGGGCAAAGGGGGGTGAGCTCACTCTGGACCGCAGCGAGTGAGGTGTGGAAACAGAGACTCAAATTTCCGGAGGCTATTTCAGTTTTCTTTTCCGTTTTAAGCAACTTCACTTATGATATCAGCCAGGACTTGGCCACTATTTTGGAAACTCCCCCTTGGAGGCGGGGTGCTCCCTCTACTGGCCCTGAGTCCCTATAAAAGGCCTGAGCTGCAGAGGATCCCTGCAGAGGATCCTGAGACAGCACGTGCATCACCCACAGCCTCTGCCCACAGGTACCATGAAGGTCTCCGCAGCTGCCCTCGCTGTCATCCTCGCTGCTGCCGCCTTCTGCATTCCTGCCTCTGCCTCCCCATGTAAGTCTGGGGCCTGACACCACAACCCATAGAGTAGGTCCACCCACTGCCAAGAAGGCCCACCCCATCCTACTATCCCAGCCCTTGCCCTCTTTTCAACTATAGCATGTATACTGTCTGAATCCCATTGTTTACATTCTTAAAATTGTTTTAGCCAGATGCCCTGTTACCCCTGATAGATCTCTATGCCACTTCATGTCAGGGACCCCCCAGTCAATTTTTCTGAGTCTCCAAGGTCCATAGCCCTTGAGTTTTGCAAGTGCTCACTGAGTGTGAACTGATGCTGAGGATATCGGTAGGCAGGGGTAGCTGGACTGACCTTGAAAAATGAATGACTCATCCTGTCACCAGCAGGATTTCTGAGAAACTTCTAAATTCTCAACAGAGCTCTCCTGAGATAGTCATGGTCTCTCATTTCACAGATGGGAAAAAAAATGGGGCTTATAAAAGAATAATTAAAGCTAACTAAAGGCCTACTATGGGTTAGGGATTGTGCTGTTTGCTTGACCTGTCATCCTATTGAATACAAATACTCTCTGAGTAGCTGTTCTAGACTTACAGATGGGGAAATAAAGGCCCAGGCAAATTAAATAACTTGCCTAAGGGCACATCCACCTAGGAAGTATTCAAACCCAGCCCCATCCAGCTGGGATAAATACTACTACTCTTCTGGGAAGAGACAACTGTGCTTCCTAACAGCATCTTGAATTAATTGACTAACAAGAGGTTCTCTATTCAAAGCCCTTCTCCCTATAGCCCAGCCAAGGGCTCCCAGGATGCAATATGCATCAGGCCCCACTTGGGATCCTGGCTGAGCCAAGAAGCCTTAGCTTTGGAACCAACTCTCCCCAAACCTACCCTATGCAAGTTTTGAATTCATCAGGGATTCTGGAAGGGCGAGAATGAGGGCAGAGAACCCATGACAGGGGATAAGGAGGCCCAGCATGACCTGAGAGCCAAGGGCAGTGGGTTATGATATAGAAGAAAGGATATAAGCTCAGCTCAAGGATCAATTGACGGGGAAGAGATACTTTCAGTCTTCTGTTGGAATTCCCATTCGGCTCCTGTGTTCCATGACCAAGTGCCTTTACCTCTCTGAGCCTCAGTTCTTCCACGGTGGATAATAGTCTTTTCAAGATCAGTCATGTAAAATGCCCAGCACAGTGCCCAGTGTCCACTGGCAATGAATAAAGGGGGGTCTCCTTTCTTCATCCTTTCTCACAGATGCCTCGGACACCACACCCTGCTGCTTTGCCTTCATCTCCCGCCCAGTGCCCCGCAACCACATCAAGGAATATTTCTACACCAGTAGCAAGTGCTCCAACCTAGCAGTCGTGTGAGTCTCAATCCCACTGATTCCTCCAGGGGGGTGAGGAAGGGTTGACTTGGCTCCCAGAGTCAGTGACCCCACACACCAGGCACCCTCTAAGAGAGTGCCCCACCCACTCCCACTCATCCTCCAGCTACCCAAGTAGCCACAGTACTTTCATCTCTAGCCTCAGGGTTTCCATCCACAATGTAAAAGAACTAGACGAGGTATCTTTGGAGGATGCTGCCCACCTCATGGGCTAGGTTCCTAGGACTCCACTTGCTGGTGCAACTTTTACTTGAAAAGAATTTGAAATGCCCCTGCATAGAGAAGATGGACTCCATCATCCCTTTTCACTGAAGAACCCTAGAGTCCCCCATATTTCACACCTAACCAAACCAACCTAAACCTCAAAGGAACTAGGGGAGGAGGTCTAAGGTCAGGGGCAAAACAAAACAAAATAACAACAAACTTTTTATTTAGGAAGAAATTTTTAAAAAGATAGAGGGATTCACCTTTAAATATGCAAGCTAATACATTTGGGGAAATAGAATAGTCCCTACTGCATGGGAAGTGCCTACTGTGTGTCAATGCCTTATGTGCATCACTTCTAAATTTCACATAATGGCCCTGAGAGGTAAGCACAATTCTGGCTCTCAGATAATGAAACCGAGAGATTTATTGACTTCTCCAATATTGCACAGTGAGTCTGGAGCCTGTCTCTGGAATCTCCTTAGTTACTAAAGAAATAGAAAATGATAGAGACTGAAAATGGGGCTTGACCTAGTGGCACAGACCTCTAAACCCAGTGACTTGGGAAGCTGAGGCAGTAGAATCGGAAGTTCAAGGCCACCCTCTCTCAAAATTTTCAAAAAACACCCATATGTATAAAAGCCTGGAGACATAGTTCAGTGCTTGCCTTGCATATGCAAGGCCCTGAGTTCAATCCCCAGTACTTAGGGGGAGGGGGATAAAAATAGGTCTCTCATCAAATTTCCTATGAAAATTCAAAGTTTTTAATCCAAAAAATGTTCATGACATGGTAAATTTATAGGTATTCAAAAATGGAGTTGGTGAATGGTCCTGGTGAATCAAAATATACTGGTAATATTTTGCATCACTGATTTTATTTCTGAAAACAAATATTTTTCAAAAGGAAAAAAAAACTATTCCCTAAATATCTCTTATGGGCAGAGATTAATAGAACCACCATCCCTGGTCTACAGGCTCACAATCTAATAAGAGATGAGACAGACACAGCAATGACTAGAGTACCCGGCAAAGAACATCACACAGGAAGACAGGGAATGTGTCTGGTTTCAGGGGTGAGGAGAGAGGATTTAGAGGAGGTTGTGGCAAAAGGCACTGTTTGGGGCATGATTGGGATGGCAGGGGAAAGCCTGTGGGATGGAGTTTATCAGACAGAGAGGATGCCTGCAGGGTTCGACTTTGGTTTGTGTAGGGACTCCATGTAGGGAAGCCCAGAGGGCCTTGAATGTCAAGAAAATCAACAACAAAAAAAAAGAGCTATCAAATGTAAAATGAGCTGGAAACTCAGCCTAGGAAACTGGGGTCCAGTTAAAGGCTACTGTAGCTACCCACATGTGTAGTGCTGGAAGCAGAAGGAAAGGAGAGATGGGAGAGAGGAGGTGGAATTAGCCAGGGCCATGGACTTGAGGTCAGGGCCAAAGGGGAGGGAGAGGCTGACAATGTAGCTGAGACCTCAGCCTACATAGTTAGAGAAGAGTAGAACCCCCTTAAGTCTCAAGGACAAGCTGTCTAAAGAGGAAGGAGCCAAGACAACCCTGTGGAAACAGCTAAGAGATGGAGGGGAGGGGAGTGTAAACAAAGGGCTGGTAGCTGAGGACATTCTCTTGTAGGCGGAAGGGGCCTTCCAATAAAAACAAGGCAGGGTGGCACTGCCTTGGTGAGCACTGACTCTAAAGCAGGTCTGCCATGTCGGAACCATGCATGCCACCTGGTAAGCTTAGGTCCCTCACTTAACCTTCTGAACCTCAATTCCTCCACCAAAATGGGATGGGGCTGGGTTGTGGCTCAGTGGTAGAGCGCTTACCTAGCACCTGTGAGGCACTGGGTTCAATCCCCAGCACCACATAAAAATAAATAAATAAACAAACAAAGAAAATATAGGTATTAAAGATATTAAAAAAATATGACACCATATTTTTAAAAAAATAGAGAGAGAAGTGCTTCCCTCCTTAGGTCACTATGAGAATAATAAAATGCTTAGACTATTCCCTGGCATCCATAAAATAATAGGTGAAATTTAAGAAATGAATGCAATTTATTTATCTCCTTGTTCATTCAATAAACATCTGTTAAGCACCCACTGTGTGCCAGGCCCCAGGGTCCAAGACTCGGGAAAGAACACAGAGAAAAGGACAGCAATTGAGAACGTCTGCTCTGAAGGGGCAGGTGGAAGGAGAGAAGTCAGACAAGTAGAAGGTCCTGAAAATGGGGGGAAGGGAGGGAAGAGTTGGCAAAGATGGTCTGTTTTTGGTATGGCGTGCTGCAAAGAGGAGGAAGTGGAGCCTGGGCAAGGCTCATCTCAGGTGTTGGTTTCCTGACCTTTTGACTTCCTGGCCACACGCCAAGGGTGCTAAGAAGAGAGCACTGAATAAGGACAGGGTCTATATCTGAAGCTTCCACACTTTTCCAATAAGAAAATAAACAGTGAGAGGCAGAAGAGCCTAGAACACCCCTTCCCCTATTTTTCTCATCCGCTCTGCTCACCAGAGTAAGACACAGATGGTCAAGGGTCTTGGGTGAGCCTCAGAACAGCAGAAAAGTTGCTCAAAGAACAAATATTATCCATGAGAGAGCCCAAAGAGCAACCAGGAAATTCTCATTCTCAAAACACACCTAAGCCTTCACTTTATCTGAAAATATTTGGGCTCACAAACATGCATAATATACTTAAAAATGATTAAGACAGGGTTGGGAGTGTTGCTCAGTGGTAGAGCATTTGCCTATCATGTATGAGATATATGAGGCCCAGGGTTCAATCCTGGGGTGGGGGGATTAAGATAATGTTATATGTTTTACCACAAATTTAAAAAAAAAAAGTTTCAATGCTGTTATACATAGAATCAGAATTACACAAGGTTATTGATTTTGAAAGACATATGGATAGATGCCTATAGAAAGAATGAAATCAAACTAAAAAATGAGTAAGATATTTAAACGAGGTAGGCACATTGTATATCAGAACATATTTGAGCATAATACTTTATTCCAGGGAATACATCAGTATTTTTTTATTTTAATAGTTGTAGATGGACAGTTTGACTTTATTTCTTTTTATGTAGTGCTAAGGATTGAACCCCGTGCCTCATACATGCTAGACAAGCACTCTGCCACTGAGCTACAGCCCCAGCCCCTACATCAGTATTTTAAAAATATAATAGTTATTGCAAAAACAGGCTGATTTACAATTTACCTTTATTGTTTCTGACACATAATTAATTTCTTTGTTAGGCCATATAATAAAATGTCATACTGTGTGACTCAACAAAATTTTTAAAATAAACTTCCAGACAGCTGCATAATAATTAACTTTCTTCCTATGAGAACCATATTTAATCTTATATACTAACTTAAGTAAGACCATGTTCAAATCCCCCCCCAAAATAATAGTAGTGTGTAGGAACACTTCCTAAAGGAGAAGCCAAAATTTAAACAGTCAAGTAGACAAGGGTATTCCCAAAATATGTGTTAATGGGCAGCTGTTACCTAACCAACAGTCTACCCTACAGAAAACCAGGCCCCCCCAGACAGGCAAGGTGGCAGCTGGACTGACCCGTATGACTAGCAACTTTTATACTTCCAATTTATACCATCAACACCTGCAGAGATAAGGCCTCCAACCTTCACAATCTTTATATTCTGCTTGGTAATTTGGTAGAAGTGCTTTGGCACTGCCAATCTCAGGTCCCTCAACCTCTCTGGGCCATGGTCCAGGACCAGGACCTTGGTCTCATGTTGTTCCAATCCACCCTAAAGCAGAGGTCTCACAGCACTCTAATAACAATACCTATACATGCATGCTATTCTTGTATAGTATTTTTCAAAACTCATTATCTCATTTGAGATCCACGACAATTGTGCAAAGCAGGAATTATTTCTGTCCATATTTTAGAAGTTAGCAAATAGGCCCAGAGACCCTAAGTGATTTGTCCATAGTGATCCAACTACTAAGTAGTGCAACAAAAACTCAAGTTCATCTCCTTCTTTCATTCACCCACCTGTGCATAGATATATTCCTGGGTTCATTTGTTGAGTGTCTACTCTGTGCCAGGCACTGTGTTGTCTATAGTCAAATCATGTGTTCCTTTAGGCACTTTTCTTAAGCACATCCTGGAGGACATCTTTTTTCTCTCTGCATGGTGAACCCAGCACAGGGCTTGGGGAAGGGGAAGTGCAGAGAAAAAGCAAGTGGTTAGCCAGTTCAACCCTAGGCTCTGGAGTCTCCCTATCCCCTTCGCATTACAGGCTGCATGTATCTGGGTGGGGTTTACAATGCACACGACTTTGCTTCTGGCTTGGAGCCCTTAGATCCAACAGAGGAAGAAATGCCTCCTAAAAAGAAATAGCACCTCATGGCGCTCCAAAAAGAACCTACCCTAGTCCCACCACCATTTCCTTTTATGTCTCAATCCACCTCATCCCCTAATCTGGCTGTCCCAGTGCTAAGAAGGTCTCACTCTCTTCTCTCCCACAGCTTTGTCACCCGAAGGAACCGCCAGGTGTGTGCCGACCCAGAGAAGAAATGGGTTCGGGAGTACATCAACTCTTTGGAGATGAGCTAGGATAAGCGGCACCTTGAACTTCAGCTGGTGTAAACTCGCCTGTTGCTATCTGCTGTCATCCTAACCACCTTGAGAAGCTTCTCCCCAGTCCCCCACTCCCATTCACCTGTTGGAGGGAAGGTTCTACCACATAGCAGCAATTAGAAAAGGCTCCCGACCTAAGCCTGGAAGCCTTACTAAGGCCCTGCCTTAGCAACAAGAAGTCTCTAGGCTCTGAAAGTCAGGCCCCTTGGCTTTGCTATGGTTCTATGACTAGAGAAGGAAGTCAGCATGTTTCTCAAGGAAAGAAGGAAGACCAGGATCCTGAAGAAATCTCCCATGGCCAAAGTTGCCATCTCAGGCCCTCAGGAGGGCTGAAACTATCAAACATAAGAAATCAGCTATTTTTTTTTTCTTTTCTTTTCTCCCCACCCCTCACCCCGAGCTCCCTAGTGCTAGGGATGGAACATGCTAGGCAAGCACTCTACCACTGAGCTAGACCCCCAGCCCTTTTAATTTTAGAGACAGGATCTCACTAAGTTACCCAGACTGGCCTCAAACTTGTGATCCTCCTACCTCAGTCTCCCGAGTAACTGGGATCATACCACTTGATCTGACAAAAAAAAATCAGCTTTTCATTAAAATTTTTCAGTATAATTACAAAACTGGCTCCTGGATTGATTTCCTACGTGGGAACCCTCTTCCCCCATGTACATTAAGCAACAGGGGTCCAGGCTTAAACTTACCTGATGCCCACACTAGACTTGGGGGCCATGGCCCCACCCAGTGAGCAGGGCTGGGAGCAAAAGTGCTCTCTCACTCTCTCTCTCTCTCTATCTGTCTCTCTCAGAAGTGGGCACTGGCAGGCAGAGCAGGTAAAGTAACTAACAAGTGACTTGTCCACTGGGTAGGAAGGACAACAGTCACTATGTCCCAGCCCCAACCCCCAAGAATTTATCTGTCTCCCTGTCATAGTACCTCCCTGTTTCCTCAAACTTTGGTTGGCCCTTCCACCTTAGCCTACCCTCTACCTAATCCCCAGTGGGTTTCTTTACGACTCTTGCCCTTAGAACAGGATAGTGACAATCCTGAAGGTCTCCAGTCTTTCAAATAAGAAGAATGGGGGGCATTTTGTGGTTTTTACAACTCCACCAGTACCTCTAAAGTGAACTATTCCAACCTTCCCAACTATGTGTCCCTTCATATGAATATGTAATGACAACAGATATAGGTAACATTAATTGAGCACTCACTATGTGCCAACCATGGGCTCAGCCTCACATATTCATCATTCTTTTTATGGTAGGTATTATTGTTAGCCCTGTTTACAGTGAAGAAAACCCATGGCAAGAGAGGGAAATGATTTGCCCACAAAGCCCCACCCACCGCCAAAAAAAAAAAAAAAGTAAGGTCTAATGCCAAAGCCCATATATTTTTTTTTGTTTTTCACCTTCAAATTGCAAATTTTCAAACTTACAGAAATTTGCAAGAATTCATTCATATGTTCTTCATCTGGATTCAAATATTAACATCTCACTACATTTTCTTACCCCGCCCTCTCTCCCTCGTATAGACGTTTTATCAGGACAATTTGAAAGTTGCAGAGATGATGTCACTTCACCCCTAAAAGTTTCATTGTATTTACCCTAAGAGTAAGAACATTCTACCTAATCATCAAAAGAGCAATACACTCAGGAAACTCATCAGTGACATAATATTATTTCCTAATATAGGATCCATCATCAAATTTCCCTTATTGTCTCAAATAATGTCCTTTTAGCTATTTTTTAAAAATATTTATTTTCTAGTCATAGTTGGACACAACACCTTTATTTTATTTATTTATTTTTATGTGGTGCTGAGGATCAAACCCAGGGCCTCATACATGCGAGGCGAGTACTCTACCGCTAAGCCATAACCTCAGCCCCTGTTAATAGCTATTTTTTAAGATTAAGGATCCAATACTAACACACCACAAGGAGCGGGAAGAATAGAAGTTCCGTGGATTAGACAAAGGAGAATGAAGGGAAGGGAGAGGGACAGGAATAGGAAAGACAACGGAACGAATCTGACATGACTTTCCCATGTACACATATGAATACAGTGAATTGCCGCATCAAGTACAACCACAAGACTGGGATCCTAATTAGAAATAGATAATCTCCGTGTATGTAAAAATGTGTCAAAATGTACTCTCCTGTCATGATAACTAAAAAGAACAAATTTTTGAAAAGAAAATTGCACTAATGGAAAAAAACTCAGGGTACAATGAAGTACACAGTGGGTTTAGGTTTCATGTCTTTTTGGTATCTTTAAGCATAGTTTTTTCATTTTTTTAAAAAAAATATTTTTTAGTTGTCAGTGGACCTTTATTTTATTTATGTATATGTGGTGCTGAGAAACGAACCCAGTGCCTCACACATGCTAGGCAAGTGCTCTATCACTGAGCCACCATCCCAGCCCCCTATTTTTTTCATTTTTAAGACACTGATAGTTTCTAGTTCTCATCAGATTTTTTTTCCCAGTACTAAGGATTGAACTCAATGCCTTGTGCATACTAGACAAGCACTCTACTACTGAGCCACACCCCCGGTCCCAGATCAGATGTTCAGATGTTTGTAGAATGTTTTTTAATTTGGGCTTGCCTGATTATTTCCTCATAATTAGACTGAGGTTAAAACATTTTTGGTAGGAATACCATGGGCGATGTTGTCTTTCTCAATATATTATATCAAAATACTTCATGCCAGTTTTCTGGTGATATTAAGTCTGATGGCTTGGTGACCCATGTACTCTTGCTACAATGGGCTGCCTGCTGTGTGCCAGGCACTGTGGTAGGCACTGAGGGTGGGATGGGGAGACCAGAATAAAGAGGTGCATAGTCACAAGTCACAATCTTCACCTTTAGGCAGATGGCAGTCCAGTGAGGGCTATGAACAGATTAAACATATGATAAACACAGAAAGAGAAGCAACTGTACAAAAGGCTGTGGTGACACTTAGGTGGAAGAATTACATCACTGAGTGGGTGGGGCCAGGAGCCAGGGGAGGAGACTTCAGAGATGAGATAACTTTTTTTTTTTTAGTACTGAGGATTGAACCCACAGGCATGCTATCACTCAGATATGTCCCCAGCCCTTTTAATTTTTATTTATTTTTTTAATATTTATTTTTTAGAAGTTCAATACCTTTATTTTGTTTATTTATTTTTATGTGGTGCTGAGGATCAAACCCCGGGCCTCCCACGTGCTAGATGAGCGCTCTACCACTGAGCTACAATCCCAGCCCCTAATTTTAATTTTTAAATGCCTCAGTTCCCACGCTCAGGTTTAAGTTGCCAAGGCTCGCCTTGAATTTGGCCTTGAATCCTCCTGCCTCAGCCTTCCAAGTACCTGGGATTACAGACATAGGTTATCATGCCTGCCTAAGATGAGGGAATGTTTATATGGAATTTGAAAGATTTAAGTAAAGTTTAACAGGTAGAAAGGAAGGGAAAGGACTGATAGGTAGTGGGAACAGCATATGCAAAAATGGGAGGCCGGAAAGACAGATCTTTGATATTCTTTTTGCTTGTTTGTTTGTTAATCAGACTTAATATCACCAGAAAACTGGGGAATGAACCCACTTTATCACTGGACCACATCCCCAGAATTTTTTTTTTTTTTGTACTGGGGATTGAACCCAGGGGCACTTTACCACTAAGTTACATGCCCTGCCCTTTTTATTTTTTGAGACAGGGTCTCACTAAGTTGCTTAGAGCCTTGCTTAGTTGCTGAGGATGGCCTTGAACTTAGATCTCCTACCTCAGTCTCCTCAGTCAGTGGAATTATAGGTATGCACCACCACTCCCTGCTGGTACTATCTCTTGTAACCAAGGAGGGGAGTGTGTATATAAAAGGGGTTGTCCATCACCACATCTTCCTAATGGCATATCCTGAGAACAACCCCTGCCCCTAATGTGGACTTACTTGAGTCCAACAGTTCATCAAATGCTTTGATTTTCTTTTTTAATTTATGCCTTGCCACAGACCTGGTAGTTAACCAGACAAGCATAACTTTTCCACTTTTCAGATGAGGAAAGTTAAGCTCAGGTAGGTCAAGTAACCAGTTCAGTCCACAGGCCAAGAGATGCCAGGAGTGGGGCTCAAGAATGGAACTTGAGAGTTCTATTTACCAAGGCGATCTGGTTGCTAACACTTGGAAACTTCTACCTCCAAAATCTGGACACTCAATGATCCTTCTTGTTCCAGAGGATAGGTCTTCTCCAGTTGTGCCACCATTCCCCCACAGCCCTGAATTTCTGACTGCCCCCCAGGTTGCCTCTAACCCCACCAGGAGAAGAAGATGGCCTATGTAAAATCAGCTGATATCTCTGAAATCACCAGGTCAATGCTCAGGTGCCCATGGCTGAAGGATACATACTGTACCAAAGGTAAGGCTGGAATGAACAGGAATAGAGTCAGGGACAGGAGCCTGAAAAGGCAAGGTTACCTGGCTCCCAGTTCCAGGCAGGGCACTAAGTTCAGCAAATCCACTAGAAAGGTCAAGGCAGGCCCCTGGACATATTGATGGCTCCCCCACAGCCCTCAAGGTAAGTCTCTAGCTCTGCAGCAGGATTTACAGGATCCTCTTAATTTGGGACACCTGTGTGTCTCCCCAGCTTGTGCTCCCACGTCTGCACCCTACTCTCCACCTCAACTCTCACACCTCCAAGTCTTCACATAAGGTGTTCCCTGTGTCTAACGCTATTTCCCCTGCTCTATATGGCTAACTCTTACTTGTATGAAGATTGACTTGTGTATAATCTCCTCTGGAGACCTTCCCAGATCCTCCCAGCCAGGTTAGGTGAGATGCCTGTGGGTTTATCACATATATCTGTCTCCATACTTGTTTCTCTCTGTTAATGACTAAGAAACATTTCTGTTTCCTTCATTCTCAAAATGTGGTCCCAGGAGCAACAGCATCATCATCTTACTAGAAATGCCGATTATCAGAGCCCATCCGAAATCCAGTGAATCAGATACAAAGAGTCCCAGAAATTATACTAAACGTCCCAGAAATCTGGGTTTGAAAAAATCTCTCCAAGTGATTCTCGCACACATTTGTTTGAAAAACTGAAGGAGCCAATAGTTTTTACCCTTAACTGAATATTTGAATCATCTGGGGAGCATCCTAAAATGCCTAGGCCCTTTTCCCACAGTATCTGATTCAGTTAGTCTTATGTAGGGTCTAGCTATGCTCAAAGTCCCCCCCCAAATAACTCTACTATGCAGCCAAGATTAAGAATACCCGGCTAGTTTCTT